TGGAGGAGAGGTTGAGCAGCTGCAGCCCGAGGCTGGTGTCCCAGCAGAGTCTCTAAGGATGGCACCAATGGCACTGGCTGGGGACAGCTGAGTGTGGAAGGCACGTCCAGCCTCAAGCAGGGCCATTGAAGTCAGTCAGGAGGACAGGCTGCAGCTGAAGCTGCCCAGGGTTGCTGTGAGGCTGGGGAGTCACTGGAAAGCTGTGGTGGCAACTTGCCCTGAAGCCTTTTGCCAAAGCGGGTGCAATTGTGCCCACAGTCTGGCCACTTTTGGCGTCCTGGCGGGTGTGGGTGCCTGGGTGAGGAGGCCCAGGCGTTGTGGGTGCTGCTGCTCCTGGGCAGCCTCTGGTGCTGTTGTGTGTGGGGCGCGGAGCCGCTTGGGCAGCAGCGAGTGCGCAGGTCTGCCCGAGGAGCCCAGCGCCCTGCCCGTGGTGGCAGCAGCTCTGCGGGCCCAGAACTCTGGCTCAGGGGGGTGTCGGCCACAGCCCCGTGGCCTGGGCAGCTGCGGGGGCCCGGGCTGGCCGCCAGCCCTGCCCGTGCCACTGCCCCTGGCCGGCAGCACCTGGCGGACATGCCCCGGCAGGGCCCCCTTGCCCTCCTTGTCCCCAGCCAGGCCAGCCTGGCCCCCTTGGGGGTGTGCCCACCCTGCTGCTGAGGCCTCCAGGGCTTCTGCCACAGGGCTGCGAGATGCCTCGGGAAAGCACCAGAGCAGCCGGCTGGCAGGGAAGGAGGTGGCTGCCTGGGGGCTGCCTATGGCCTCTGCCCCCCAAGTCCTGGGGCCTTTTCCCTCCACCCTGCCCCTCGGGGCCTGTACCCAGTCTGTCCCGTCTCAGCCTTCTGCCACCCACCCCCTCCCAGATTCCCCTCAAGGCTTCCCGCTCCCTTGTCCCATCAGGGCCTCTGCAGCACCTCACCCCTTCCTGGCCTCCCAGCGCCCCCTCCCCTGCGGCTCTCCCCCAGCCCCGCCAACCTGCCCGGCAGCGGCGCAGCCCTGAAGGAGCTCCAGAGGAGCCGCTCCAGAGGCACTTGGGAGCCCGGAGCAATCCAGCCAGCAACACACAGGCAGGACACAGACGCTGCTTCCTGGCTGGGGGAGGGCTTGTGGCCATCTCCAAGGACAAGGTCCTCAGGGATCCCCACAGCTCCAGCCTCTGCCCCTCCACTCTGCTGCAAACCTTAAAGCTCCAGCAGAACCACCAAAGGCCAAGGGGCTTCTGCCCACTTTTGCTGGCACGCTGCACAGCGGGGCAAGTGTTGCTGAGCACAAGGAGCCCTTTTCCCCTCTTCCCCAAGGCCCTGTGCACACTGGGCACCAAAAAAAAGCTCCTGGGCCTCTGTGTGTGATAATACGTATGTTATATTCCCTGCTGGGCTCAAAGGAAGTGCTTGCAGGGAAGAAGCATCTTCCCCACAGGCTCAGGTGGCCCCAGGAGATGGAGCTTCCCGCATCAGTTCTCCACAGAGCTGCAGCAGCACAGGCAGACACTGCCCTGTGGAAAAGGCCGGGTCTTCCACGCCCTGCACAGCCAGTCTTGGAGCCGCTGAAATCTGGAGCAGGGAGCCGTCTGTACAGCTCTTAGCATGTAGCAGTGTTGAATTGCCAGGCCTGCCATGGCGAGTCTGATGTCACCTGTCACGCCTCTACGGGCTGGAAGAGGCAGGAATGGAGACTACCAGAATCGGAAGAATGGAGTTCTCCGTACAGCTCTGATGATATGGAGCGTTTGACGTGCCAGGTTTGAGACGTCAGGGCCGTCATCAGTCATGCCTTGAAGGGCTGGGAGAGAAAGAAAGAGAGCCAAGGTGAGAGGCCAGGGGTGTGGGGACGCGAGGAGCCCCTCCTGCCCGGGCCATCCCAGCCAGCTCTTGCCATGGCCAGGAGGGAGCAGGGCCCAAGGGGATCAGCTGGAAGGTGCCTTCCCTCACCCTGGCAGATGAGCTGCAGCTCTGGCTGCTCCTGCTCCATGGACCTGGCGGCGATCCCTGGGAACACAGAGGCTGTCAGGGCCCCAGAGGCACAGGTCCCCCGCATGGGGACACCCCAGGGCTGGGCTGGCCCAGGGCGGCAGCAGGCCCCAGGCCACTCGGGGCTCCACATGCCCTGGGCCGCATCCTGCTGCCGCTGCAGCAACCGGGGCTGGGGCCGAGCTGCAGTGGGGCGGGGAGGGACCCCAGCCTTGTGGCTCACCCAGGAACTTGACGGCCAGCTTTTGCAGGGTCTCCTCTGGGCTCTCCAGGTACGGCAGGGCCTGGCGCACGTACTGGCCCACTCGGCTCCTGTCCTTTTCCAGCTGCAAAGAGCGCCAGGGCACGGAGGGAAGGCTCGGCTCAGGCTCTGCCCCTTGGCCGGGCGCTCCCTGCCCCCAGCACGGGGCTCCCCTGCCCGCAGAGCCCTGAGGCCCGGTCAGCAGCCGCTGGGGCCGGGCTTTGGGGGGAGCAGAGGGCTGGGTGCTCCCGGGGAGCCGTGGGGCCGCCCTGCCCCACAGCCCAGCTGGGCCGGGGCTCCATGGCAGCCTGGCTGCGGAGGCAGGGGAGCCTGGAAAAGAGCCAGCACACCCCAGGGAAGGGAGCAGCGTGTGGGGCACAGGCACCGTGCCAGCCCCACACACTGGGCATCGGGGGCTGGGGATTTGGGGCCGTCCTTACCAGGCACTCGGCAAACTTCCACGGCTGCTCCATGGTCACCAGGTGCTCAAGATCCCTCCACTTCAGGAACCTGGCTGCACCAAACAGTGCTTCCCGAGAGGCCTGCAGAGCAACAGAGAGCGGGCCATGGCACCGCAGCCCAGAGCACAGCACCTGCATCCCTGCACCAAGGCCAGGAGGAGGCTGCAGGCGACCGTGGGCCAGGGCAGGAGGCACAGCAGCCTCCTGCCATGGGGACACCAGAGCCCACGAGTCCTCACCTCTGCCACACGCTGGTTCTCATCGTGCCAGTTGAAGTAGAATGGCACCAGCCTCAGGTAGACATGTGGCTTTAGGCTTTTGTTCCTCTCTGTTGCTTCCATCACCTCCCGGAAGAGGAGCATGGAGAGCTGCTGCAGCTGGCTGTGCTCCTGCTGCAAAGGAAGAGCAAAAGACCTCAGCCCTGGCTTCTCTAGGCCCACCGGGGCACAGGCCTGAAAAGATACTGGGCCCAAAGTTTCCTGGCAGCACTCAGTGCCCACGATGAGGGGCACAGAGCCTTACATTGTCAAAGAGTGGCCCCAGCGCCTCAAGCATCTTCAGGGCAGTGGGGCTGGATATTTGGATGATTTTCAAGTGCAGCACATTGATGAACGCAGAGAGGGTCAACCGAACCACGTCTCTGTCTGCATCCTGCAGTAGCTCCAGGAGGCTTTCATTCAGGCTCCAGATGCTCTTAGCCTGTGTGGAACACAATGCTGTGGCGCAGCCCCACGCTGCTGCCGCAGGGCCCAGAGGCCAAAGGCGCATCCCAAAGGAGTTGGGCAGCTGAACGGGGAGGAGGAGAGCTGGGAGCAACTGCCGCAGCTGCCAAAGGCCAGCCAAGGCCAAGCTACTGCCTTGCACAGCCGCACGCTGCCGGCCCGGCTTCAGCCCCTGCCCCCTGCTCACCATTGCGGGAGCCTTGCTGATCACCACCAGGCCTCGGAGCGCCAGGCGACGCCTCTCGGGGCACTCCCTGCACAGGCGCCTTGAAATAATCTGCAGGACGCTGAGCCCACATTGTCTGGGGTTCAGGCAGTGCAGCACCTGAAAGGCAGGGAGCAGTGACGGGGTGCCCGGCCGGCAGGAGCCCGGACCCACCCGGGGCTGGGCCCAGGCAGCAGCACAGGGTGCAGGCACCGTCCCAGGCGGCTGCGGCTGTGAGAGGGCAGAGAGGGGGAGGCAGCTGGGCCAAGCAGCACTTGCCATCAGGCTCACCTCCACCAGGAACGCCAGGGCAGGCAGTTCCCACAGGGGCTCTTCCCTGCTGAGCCGCGGGAGCAGGCTGACGGCGATGCTGCGGCAGAAGGAGCGGGAGATACGGCACAGCTCCCTGCAAGGGGGAATAAAGGCACCAGAGACCCTGAGCCAGGGGGGCAAAGCTCTCCTGGGACTGACTCACACAGGCCTGGTCTTTGGCCACCAGCCCGGGAGGGGACACGGGCGCTTTGGGAGGTGGCTCCTCCTGTGCAGCCGCCCCTCTCCGCCTTTGCCACTCTGCTCAGCCATCCCTGGCTGCCAAGGCCCTCTGGCCCAGCAGCACGGGCCCTGTGTGGGGTGGCCTGTGCACAGGGCAGAAATGCCGGGGGCAGTGGGGAGAAAGGGCTCTCACCTGGCCAGCAGACCCACTGCATAGTGGTGGGTGTCAGCCTTGAGGAGCGTGTCCCAGCCACACTTGCGATCGATCACCATCAACATGTCCTCATCCAGCAGCTGGCGCAGCAGGGCTTTCACAGTCTGCACTGCAAACCTGTGTGCAGAGCACAGCCCAGGTCAGGCGCAGAGCCCTGGCCCCAGCCCCGAGGGCATGGCAGGGAGAGAGGACTGGGATGGAGCACCTGTTGGGGTTGGGGGGAAGGCTGTGCTGCTCCCGGCATCGCCCCCAGAAGGTCTCGACCTCCTCTGACATCTCCTCTGTGCTGATGAAAACTTGGAAGAGCAGAGTCAGAAGGAGGCGGGGCAAATTGTTCTTCACTCCCCCTGGGCACCAGTGCAGCTGGAGGATCTCCCAGAGTGCCACAGTTGCCTGCCAAAGACAAAGCACCCAGAGACAGCTCTCAGGGCCCAGATGTCCATGTGGCAGGGCCCCAGCATGGCAGGGAGAGGCCAGGGGAGACACAGGGGGATCCCCCGGCCTGGTGGCCCTGAACTTGCCCCTAAGCCAGGGTTGCAGCCCAGTGCCTGGGGCAGGGAGAAGCAGTGGTGAGGGAGAATGAAAAGGCATCCCAGAGGCAAGCTGGGGGTGATCAGAGGCCAGCTCAATAAACTCACAGCCAGGGCAAAGACATCGCTCTCATCCCCATCAGAGGTGCGTGTCCTGTGCGCTGGCCAGAAATCCAGCACACGGAAGAGGATCTGCAGCACCGGCTCCTTAGTCCCTCTGGAGGAGATGAGCGTCCTCCACATGGTGCGAGCAGCTCTGTGGAGTCAGAACTCTGGCTCAGGGGCGTCTGGGACACAGCGCTGTGGCCTGGGCATCTGCAGGGCCCAGGTGACAGAGCCATGGTGTCTTGTGGGGCAGGGAGGCAGGCTGGCCTCAGGATTGGGGGCTGACATGCCAAAGCTGGCAAAGAGAGGAGCTGGAGTGTCCTGGAAGTCTCCATCTCTCTGGCACACCATTTGGGACAGGTTGCCCAGGGGGATGGGGTCTAAAGGCAGGGGAGCCCTCAAGGCAGGTGGGCCCCATACCTGTCACAGGCTGGGGCAGAGCACAGCAGGGTCACTGCAACATCCACAGGGTGTGCCTCGGTCAGCAGGACAAGAGTCTTGTCCAGCCTGTGCTCAGCAGACACATTGGACGTGAGCCACTGGTGGATGCACCCGACTATGGCCGGTACCTGGAGGGGACACGGGGAACAGTTGGAGAGCTGCCAGAGCCAGCAACTTGCCCAGCTTCCCCCAAGAAGTGCTCCCCTTGCCACCACACTCTGCTGGTCTCAAAGGCTGTGGGGGCCCAGCGCAGCCGGCGTGAGGGGCCACAGCATCCCTTGGGCACTGGAGCCCTGGCCACAGGCTGCTTACTTGCTTCCCGTTGTAGACACCGCTCTTCACAAGCAAATCCAGCAGGGCAGCGCTGGTCTGAGCATTGAAGAGGTCCAAGTTTGCCGTGCCCCCAGTGGCCATGAAAGTGGTCTCTTCACGCCAAATGCACCTGATGAATCTGCAAACCAGCTACAGGAGGAAGGAAAGGAAGAGATGGATGTCCCCTGGAGGGCTGCAACAGCGGTGCTGGGCTGAGCAGTGACAGCAGGCCCAGCCCAGGAGGGGATGGCTGCAGGTACCTGTGCTGCCCTGCGGAAGCGGCCACGGGCACGGAGCTGCTCTTCTGTCCGCTCCTGGCCTGCATCTGGCAAAGAGCGAGCGCGCTCAGAGCTGAGGGTGTGTGGGAGAGGCCGGAGAACACAGCCCAGGCCTGGGCTCCAGGAGCAGGGCCAGCCCTGGGATGCCCAGTGGATGGAGCACGGCTGCTGGGAGATCAGCCCCAGCCCCTCTGCCCCCCTCCCTTTCCATGGGCATGTCTAGAGGGGATGGGACAGGATGAGGCCAAGTGGGCTGCAGCCAGCAGCCCTGTGGCCCAGCTCCAGCACTCACCCTCCTGCGGGGGCTGCACCTGCTGCACCTCTTCAGGCTGCTGTGCTGGAGCAGCCCCAGGGCTTTCCTCCTCCTCCTCCTCCTCCTCCTTCACCCAGGCCAGCTTGGGCACTTGGGGGGGCTGTGCTGCACGTCTCTGTCTGGCGTTATGGCTGCCTGCAGCAGAGGTGCCATGGAAAAGCTTTGGCTCCCCAAGTCCTGCACTCGTGCCTTGAAGGCAGCTGCAAGAGAGAAGTCTCGGAAATACTCCGCCTCATCCAGTCCCACCCTCTGGCTTCGAGGGCACCTGCCCCAGGGACTGGAGATGCCTTGAGTAGCCCCAGGTGCCCAAGTGCCACAGTCTGGCCTGGAGGATGCGCGGGGGAGAGGTGGAGAGCTGCCAGAGTGAGCAACTTGGCCAGCTTCCCCCAAGAAATGCTTCCCTTCCCAGCACACTGTGCCAGTCTCAAAGGCTGAGGGGGCCAGTGCACCCATCTTGGGGGGCCACAGGCTGCTTACTTCAGCAGAGACAGCTCTCTCCCCAAGAAAGTCCAGGCTGGGGGCATCGGCCAGGCGCTGAACAGGCGCGGCGTCAGTGCTCGCCACGCCCTCCGTCGTTGTGGCGTCGGCCTCCTCCGTGAGCCCAGGCAGCGCAGAGTCACAGTGTGACACGGCATCGCTCGAGGTGGTGTCCCAGTGGGCTGTGTGATCACTGGTTGCGGTGTCACACTTTGCTGTGCCAGCAGTCGCCGCGGTGCTGACATCAGGCTTTGGCTTCAGCTGGGTCGGGATGGTGTCAGGCTGGGCCTCGACATCAGCTGATGCGACCCTGGACTTCCTACGCCGACTCCCCACGAATTTCATAAACGTCTGCAGGAGAAAGAAGGGCAGGGAAGAGATGGATGTCCCCTGGAGGGCTGCGACAGCGGTGCTGGGCTGAGCAGTGACAGCAGGCCCAGCCCAGGAGGGTATGGCTGCAGGTACCTGTGCTGCCCTGTGGAAGCGGCCACGGGCACAGAGCTGCTCTTCTGTCCGCTCCTGGCCTGCATCTGGCAAAGAGCGAGCGCGCTCAGAGCTGAGGGTGTGTGGGAGAGGCCGGAGAACACAGCCCAGGCCTGGGCTCCAGGAGCAGGGCCAGCCCCGGGATGCCCAGTGGATGGAGCAGGGCTGCCGGGAGATCAGCCCCGGCCCCTCTGCCCCCCTCCCTTTCCCTGGGCATGTCCAGTGGGGATGGGACAGGATGAGGCCAAGGGGGCTGCAGCCACCAGCCCTGTGACCCAGCTCCAGCACTCACCCTCCTGCGGGGGCTGCACCTGCTGCACCTCTTCAGGCTGCTGTGCTGGAGCAGCCCCAGGGCTTTCCTCCTCCTTCTTCCTCCGGAGCAGCCTGAGCAGGCTGAAGCGTCTCCCTGCCATGCCACAGTCTGGTGTCGAGGGCACCTGCAAGAGAGACTCCTCGGAGAAGCTCCGGGTCACTAAGTCCTGCAGAATGGCCTTGAGGCCACCTGCCACAGGGATTGGAGATGCCTCGGAGAAACTCTGGGTCTCCAAGTCCTGCAGAAAAACCTCGAGGGCACCTGCCACAGGGACTGGAAACAGCTCGGAGAAGCTCCGGGTCTCCAAGTCCTGCAGCAGGGCCTCGAGGGCACCTGCCAAAGGGGTTGGAGATGCCTCGGAGAAGCTCCGGGTCTCCAAGTAACACAGAAAGGCCTCGAGGGCACCTGGAAATGAGAAAATCCTCCAAAAAGCTCTGAAACAGCAAGGTACGAGTTGGCTGCACGGGGGCTCCACACAGCTCCGCTCTGTCCCGTCCTGTCCCGTCGCCTGCTCCGAGGAGCACTGTTGACACTGCGGCCGTGTCACCAGCAACACCTCTGTCACCACGGGTCATAAAGGGCCCTTGGACACCCTGCCCCCTTCTCTCCCACCAGCCATGCCCAGCATGTCACAAAGGGCCCTGTGACACAGTGCCACGTGGCCTGGGGCCTCCCCCAGCCCGGTCAACCTGCCCCACCTTGGAGGGAATCCGCTCTCTAAAGTATCTAATCTGGCTGGACCTGAACTGTGGGAACGGTTCAAGAAATGAGCAAACACTCCCCTCCTGTGCCTGCTCACGGCAGCACAAGGAGCCCCCTCGGCCGCCGACGCAGCCGCAGCGGGAAGGGCACGGGGCCTTCCACACAAGCTGGCACGGCCTCCTTGGGAGAAGTTCCGGCTGGTGGCCATCCTAAACACGGGGGGTGACACCGAGAAGGAAGGTGTGGGCAAGGGCACCAATGCTGCTGGGAGCCCTTTGGCCAGGGCTGCACCCAAATCAGCAGCTGTGGCAAGTCCTGGCCCAAGGAGACCTGCCACCGCCCCGAGTCCTGGCAAGGGTGCTGCCCGTCTCCTGCCCCAAAGAGCTGTGCCCCCGGGTATTAGTTCATTTGAATACATGCCCAGAATAAAGATAAGTACAACAGACATTCAAACACTACAAAATTCTTTTATTGCAGTGAGAATAAAAAACTAGCAAAGAGAATCAAAAGCTAAAAAAGAGTATAAAAACTACTTTATCAGTTGGCATTTCTACAATACTATGAACAGCTTTTAATACAGTATTAACCAGTAAAAAGGGAATTAAAAGGATTCCAAAAAAGGATATAAAACATTTGCTTTCTCGGTTGCTTCCTATCAATAAACTGTGCTTACCCACACAGACAGGCCAGGGCTGCCAGGATCTGCAGCAGCTGGTCGGTGCCCATGCTTAGCCGGCGTCCCCACGGAGCAACAGTCTCGAGTGAAGGATGAGCATCGCTCACCCCAGCAGTCCTGACACCCCATTTTAGCAGCTCTGCATTACACCACGTAGGGCCAGTACGCAGTATAAGGTGATGCCTGAGTGGCAGCCAAACCCCGCCTGTTCATCACCTGATAGCAACAGTCTGCGCATGCCCTGCTGTAGGGCAAGGGGCGAGCGACCCCTGCCCACACTATCTTCCTCTCATCATCATCTTTCTCACCCCTATGTATGACCTCTCCCATTGTGTTTCAAGGGTAGATGTATCTATCTTGCAATATGTCGCAAAACCAAGAAGGAACTCAGCTCTGATAATAGGGGATATCAGGCTGACTTGCTAAAAAGCACAATGGACCTTACAATTAGCTTGTGCCATGAAGTTACATTGTACCATACTCTAGCTGGTTTCACATCCTAATATGATTTCTTTCTCACGCCTCTACGCTCCATTGATCATCTCATTCAAAAGTACCCCCCTAACAGCCATTAACAGTGACAATCTTGTCTCACCTTAAAATCATTCACAGCTCACTTTTTTTTAATATTTAGTCACAGGTTAGTATTAGACGGTGAGCTGGGAGAAAACGTGAGCAGTCCAAGAAAACACTGTTGGTACAGTCCTGTCACAAAATGAGGTCAATGGCTCTTTGTGCAATTAAAGCAGCAGAGGAAATGCAAGATGACTTGGGTGAGACGTCCACGGCACTTAATCACCACCTGAAAAATCTGACTGCCACCTTCACGGCCGTTTCACCCAGTGGAAGACCCCAACAGGGTTCTACAGGCCCAGAATTGACTTATTTTCTTCAAGATTTAATAATGCATCTAAAAAGAAGCTATCACCTCTCTCTACAAATGTGTCTTAGATTAAGGTCTAGAAACATTGAATGTAATGATAAAAGCTGAGATTTTGATCTCTTCTTGTTACTCCAAACACATGGGTCTTAAGTTACGCGCCTGTGCCTTTAATTCAGCACTGAGTAATTACATTTAGGTCAGTGGAATCACTCCAGAGTTTTCTTGGTTTGTCTAAACTGAATGTTGTCCTAAGGATTTGGAAGCATATGAAGTGAATTTAGGAATGAACATGGATGTCAGTAGTTGGAAAATGCAACTGAAATGAACTGTCCCAGTCTGTAGGAGAGAAGAGAATGTGAAGCAGAGGTCTAAATGTCAAGAGTAAAAGCAAGCACGTAGCTTTGCACATATAATTGCATCAGCATTCTCTGTATTTTCCCCAACACTTCTTCTTCTTTCCTATTTTTAATAATAATGGCAAAAGGAATAATATAAATTTAGGTTGTCCTGGGCACTTCACCTCTTACTCATCTCCTTCAGTAAAATTTTGAAACCTTTCCATAAAACAGAATATTGA